GATTTCAAATCTTGTGTTCAATAAGAATTATTTACGGACTTCAAATCTTGTAATCTTAAATGTAAAGACTCATAATGAGCTTTATGTAATGTTACATTATAGTGATCATAATTTTCCTTAGATTTATGTAAGAATTTGGGGATCTTTTACAATAAAATACAAGATATTCTTATAGATGATGGTAGAAAATAAATATTATATAACTAGACATATATATAAATAAAAGCATTATTTAACAAAATCAATGGCATGTACCATCTCTATTATCACTTCAGGTGACAATTTAAGTTTTAATAGAACTTTAAAGAAGAAATCATTTTAAAATACATCAAAAGTATCTTTATGTTATGATGTTTGCAAGACAACAATATTTGTGTGATGTATTCTAATTAGTGGTATTATCTCTATTTATAGACTTCAAATCATATAGTTTTTAGATAACAAGTTAGGTCATATCACATTCTGGTGATCAAGCCTTTTCTTTAAATTGCTGTATGGTCAATAATTTGATCTTAAAATCATCAAAAATGTAATGAAAGATAAGTATAATTACAAAAGATATGATCTACATATATAACATAAATAAAAATAATAATATCATAAAATAGTTCAATGAATCAATCATTATTGATTAATCTATATCTATCATGATATTAAACTAAATGCTCAAACAATCAATTCACCAAAAAAAATCATATGATAAAATATGTACAAATCTCGTGATATATATATATATATATAATGATTGTTCTGTGCAAAAATCGGGATATATATGCAAAACTCGTAAAATTCTAATGAATTCAAGATAAACTACCAGTGCAAAATTATGATAATCATATATGTGCAAACTCCGGGTTAACATTGAAAACAGAAACTAGGACAGATTTAAAACAGAAATCTAGATCTGAATAATGACATAATGACATAAAACACATCCGTGCAAAGTTCGATTTAAAACAATATGGAAAATACTCGATTTAATGAATATGTGCAGAAACAATATGAGGCAATATTCGATTTTAATGAATAAGATTCAATTTAACAAATTTCGTGCAAATCATGTGCATAAATAATATATGCAATATATGATTTTAATGAACAATATTCAGTTTAATATATTTCGTGCAAAGTATGTGCAAAAACGGAATAAAATATTTCATATGCAAATAATGTGCAGAACTAATAAATTTAATTTAATGAATAAAGACATATTTATAAATATCATGGAAAAATATATATTAGTATAAACATGTAATTTGAATCTATACTGGAGAACTTATCATTTATAGAAATAATAATAATAAATAATTATATGATTTAAATCTCTGCAGGAGAATTTATCATAATATCAATCATAAATAAAATAAACATATAAATTGAATCTCTACAAGAGAATTCATCATAATAAACATATAAGTTGAGTCTCTACAAGAGAATTCATCATAATATTGATTATGTAAATCTCTTCAATAGAATTTATTATAATATTGATCTTGTAAAAAAAAAAATTAATAAATAAACATATGATTTGAATCTCTACAGGAGACTATCATAATATTGATTAATGATCTATTCTTACAAACCATGAGTTGATAATAAACATGATTTGAAGTTCGAATGAATAAATTCTAAAAAGCAGATTTGTAGACCTCTTAGCTCAGACAGCTAGAGTTTCGTGTTGATAACGTGTTGTGAATAGAGAGAAGAGATAGAAAAAATTGGTGTTGTATTATTCCAATGAATAGATGGTCCTTTATATAGGAGTACAAAGAGAGGGTTTTACTTGGTGACAAAGTAAAACCTAGTTTACAAGCAACTCTAAAATCTTCTAGAATGTGGACCTTATGGGCTTATAATGGACATCACATAATAGTTCATAACACCTACAAGTGTTGAAAGTAACTGCGCCAATTTCAAACAACAAGTTTACATACATGAGATAGCACGAGATCAACAAAGTTTCTACATTCCTGAAGCACTCTCCAATAAAACAAAAATACCCCAAGCAGATATACATGCAAACAAGGCTTCTTCAGATACGACCTTGCGCTAGGCACAGCCTTGGTGTCAAAGCTCATGTTCATTTCAGCGGAACTTTGAGAATCAATGTCTTCATTTTTATTTTTCATCGAGATTTCAGAAGTAAGACACTCGTTTAGCTCGATAACAACTTGGAACATTGTTGGTCGTTTTTCTGAAGAAGGGTTTGCACACAACATAGCCAATTCAAGTGCTCTCCAAGCAGAACGAGAGTTGTAATCACCATTAAGATTAGGATCCATGATTCTAGTTATATCTCCTCTGCTGAGCATAAATGCTGTCCATTCTGCTATGTGTGACTTTTCACGGGTTTGATCAATCACGCGTTGGTTTGTGATTATCTCCAATAATATTATCCCAAAACTATAGACATCACTCATTTCTGCCAACCGGCTTGTTCTGTAATATCTAGCAAGGCAAATACATGGAGTAAGATACATGTTTACTCATTTAACCAACAAAGATGAAAGTTGACACGTATTTTAGCACATTTGTGTGCATTCTTATTTTGGAGTTAGTTTTGACATATCCTAGTTGTATACATAAGAAATAAAAAAGGATAACATCATAGGTGGAGGTATATTACTTACTCGGGGTCAAGATACCCAGGAGTACCAGCAACAGCTGTGGAAATAAGAGATTCATCTCCAAGTTGGAAAGATCTTGAAAGCCCGAAATCCGCAATTTTGGCTGTGAATTGTTCATCCAACAATATATTTGTGCTTTTGACATCTCTATGCACCATAGATGGTCGACATCCAATATGTAGGTATTCTAGTCCTATAAACGTTAGAAAATGCCCTTTTTTACTTCTGTAATATGAATATGATGAACTGCAAAATATATATATCCAAACATTCTAGATTTTCAAAACCATTGTAACAAGTTTTTTCAAATCTGAATTATATTATTTCTCTGTTAGTTAAGAGTATAAAAAACTCATAATTTATCTTAAGTAATAGATGAGAATATGTATTTGTTCCATTTATATTTAATACATTTATTTCCACTGATCACATGAAACCTTTTGTAATAATAAAAGTTAATGACATTATTTTGAGATAGTTCGAACCTAAGGCGGCATCAACGGCTATTTGTAGTCGAGTACTCCACTTCAGAACAGCGCTACCATGTTTTCCTGTTGCAGATTGTCAAATCAGCGAACAAAATTTTTTTCTATAATAATATAACTACGAATATGTTAAATTTATTTATAGTATAACTTTTCACCTGACAAATGATATTTTAAGTCTCTATTGGACATGTATTCATAAATGAGAGCCAAATGATCTCGTTCATCGCAGTATCCTACCAGGCTTACCAAGTTTATGTGGTGAACTCTCAACAACAGTTCGACCTGCACACCCATTAACAATGAAAAAGATTAAAACACCTGAGACACATTGGTTTAATATATATATAGACTTACGGCAATTTTTACCTCAGCCTTAAACTCTTTATAGCCTTGTGTTGATGACTGAGAAAGTAGTTTCACAGCTACTTGTTGTGAACCATTTATATCACCATAATAAACAACGCCAAACCCACCTTCACCAAGTGGTCTTTCCAAATTTTTGGTCATTTCCAAAACCTCTAAATAAGTGAATTTTTTCCTTTGTGTCTCGATTAATAATTCAGGTACATAAGTGGATGTAACATTCGCCCTCGTCTTAGTTGATGTCGGTGATAGAGCTGTATGGACCGCATCTTAGTACAAGAACATAATATATATAATTGATTTAATCATGGTGCGAGCTTCCACGAATACCTCCTGAATTTGATGTTTTTTTCCTTTTAAACACAAAAATGAGAACTAGTATTACAACAATGACCAAGACCACCGCCGTAGAAGCTAATGCAACAATGTTTACTGAAAATTTCTTCTTTGTGACACATGAACCAGATGAACAACGATGCTCTCCATCAACACTATAAAAAAAACAAATGATTGACCTTTTAAGATTTTGAATGCATGTAGTGAAGGATGCAAAAGGAAATGTGTGTGGATGGAGCTCCTTCTTACGTACAATAACTTTAGCCCTTCTTTTTCTCTATCGAGAAGGGCTTGTGGGATGAAACCAACAAGATTGTTCTTGCTCAAGTTTCTGTTAAAAACCAGGGAAATATCCTACATATAGATGTGCATAATCCAAAATAATACTATGACCAAACATTTCAAGAGAAACTTACATGAGCAACAAAGACTTCATATTAGCTAGAAATCCAGGAATTTCTCCAGTCAAACTGTTATTTGACAAGTCCCTGATGAGGTTTGTAAGAATTAAAAGTTATGAATTTCTTGTCTTAAAGAATTTTTTTATCATACTTACAACTTTTCAAGATGAGTAAGATTTTGAATTCCAGCTGCTATGGTTCCTTTTAACCCGTTTGAAGATAAGTTCCTGTTTGTAGAAATAACAAGCGTAATGTAGGTAGAAAATGTTTTCTAACAATACTAAAAAGGTTGTGATATATACAGATCTTACAAATAAGTGATTCTTGGTGGTGTAGAGGTATCTGTGCTGTTGCAATTTAGATTGTCCCACAAAAACTTTTGAGGGACGCATGGATCTCCTTGCCATGTGATTTTATTCAATCCGTAGGTGGCTTTGATGTTTCTGATAGCAAAAACTATCATAAAGTACAAAAACATATATGTTATGTATAGCATTAGAAATGTTTCAAAACTTTTATATGTATATATATATATATATATATAACTTTGCATTGGTACCTACCAACGTACCATCATTTGCATTTGTTTCCAGTTGTGGAAATTTTACTACTGTGTAAATCTCGATGGCATTGAGAAGAGGTGGGAGAGTAGAATTTCTAGTTCTTTTGAGCTCCAAGTTGCATGATCCTCCTTTGCAAATAAGTGATGATTTGGAGTAAATTGTGGTGGTCTTTATATATTTAGGGCTAATCGCTTTGTCAAAATCTTCCCCGTTCCAAAATATGTCAAACTCTCTAGATTCATTGGCTTGTAATGATTGGACCTCAGAGAAGTGTAGGTACACGTAAATTTCGTCATCAGGAAAATCAAGATCCTCCGTGATATTAAACGGTGCACTAGCATTCGCAGGTATTGCCGCGGTCTTGAGCACGTTCTGAGGCACAAGAAAACCATTGGTGTTATTTGCTTCGAAGCTGGTGGAAATTTGTTTCCATTCTGACTCAAATTTTGGTTCCCATATTCTGTCGTTGACGTCATTTGGGTACCTGTGGTTCATAAAAAGCTTGTGTTATATTAACTTGGTGAACAAAATGAGTAAAAAAAAAAAAAGCCTATATAAGAAGACTTCGGTCCAAAACTTTGTCCTAGGCACACAAAAAAAATGCAATCATCTTACAGCCACTTACGATAGAATGGTCTCTGAATTGCTAAGATAGTATCTCTTCAAAGACTTCAGTGAACCAGATTCAGTGATGTAAACATCATTTGCTAGTGGCCTTAGTTCCAAGGATGAAATCATTGGCGTCGAAGTGCCTGTCTTGACAAGGCACAAATCTAAGTAATTTGATCTTGGGATGTATATGATCTCCTCGGTTTGACCGCTTATCTCTTCTTTCTCGCCTATTTTTACCCAAAAGTTAGGGCCTATGTATAAGTCAAATTTAGGATAAATGTTAAGACGGTCATAATTTCCATACAGAACTGTAACTCTGATTAGATAATTTGTCCCTTGCTTCACACCAAGATTGTAACAGTTGCGTATTCCATCTGGAAAGTATCTCAACGTCACGTAAGACTTTAGGGTCTTGGGCAGACTTGCGTCAATTTTCCCAATCTTTCCGCTTTGTATGAAGTCTGAGTCTGATGAGAACCATAATCCAGTATCTGGCTCGATATATGGTGACACTTCACTAGGGGGTAGACCACAATCCACGCTGATGAACCCTGTTAAGATATGCAAGAGATCAATTATTATGCTCAATAAAATAACTAATTAAGCAGTTATTTAGTCGAATGATGTTTTGGAAGCGTGATTGTACAAAAATACATACTCCTTCCGTTTTTTTAAATAAGATGTTTTAGATATTGTTTTTTTGTTCAAAAATAGTTAATGTTCTCACATATCTATATAAAAATTAATTACATTTTTATTGATTTAAGTATTTGAATTTTGTATATTGTTTTTCTATTGGTTGAATTGTTTTGGAATTGATGATAAAACATGTTTTGTTTTGGAAAAATACAGAATTAAATAATTCTTAATCTATGTGTAAAACTCTTAAACAACATATATAAAAAACAGATGGAATATTATTTACAATATATGCGCGAAATAATAAATCACACTCTCACAGGTCACAAATTATTTTCTCATTCATTTAGCATGTTTTATTAGTACGAATACAGTAAAATCTTTATAAATTAAAATGTTGAAACTTTAAAAATTATTATTTCAAAGATAAAGTTTACACCGGAAGAATTGCCTGTCTTCTCACTACATTTAGATGATTTCGTGAAAAGTAAGGAAGTAAACATGTTTTCTTATAGCTATAAATTTTTATAAATATAGTTTCGTGGTTTTCTTATTCTGAATATAAAAATATTAGACAACATAAATCTAATTTGTTCACTAAAGGTGCCTCTGTAATTAATTTTGTAATAGTTAACATGAACGGGATACATAAAAAGTTGACTTTCCAAATAGATACAGATAACATTTCAAACAAAAAATTGATTTGTGAATCTCTCTGTATTCTAAAAAGTGCACATTTATCATAAAAAAGAAGGAATGGTGAAATCTTTTTTTTACAGATTCCTGGCATTGTATATACATTCTTTCTTCTTGGACCGTACGTATAAATTAGAAACGTTTCCAACTATGCTAATCTATCATATTTACATCGATTTTCTTTTGTGGTAATAATGCAAGATAATCATTGTTATGGTAAACGCGACAAGTTTTCTACTCTTGCTTTTCAACAGCATGCATTATGCAGATTTGAGTTCAGATGATAATAGGCTTTTTACTATGAAAAATGCTATAAACGTATATCAAAATGTGGATACATACCCTCCTGATCTTCGGCTTGAACAAGGTGAATAATAGTGGATGCTACAATAAATGCGACCAACAAAACCCCATGGGGCCTTTCCATATGCTCTTGTTTTCCAAGAAAAATCAAGAAAGTTACGAAAGTTCTGAACCAAAAAATGAAGCAAAAAGACGTTTACCATCGAATTAAATCCACTAAAACGTGAGGACATGTCATAGTTTTCACAAAAAGAAGTTTACTGCCGTTTGAGTGATATAATACGTTTTGTAGAGGTAACGCATTTTCTATATGTTAGTTTCTTGGTCGGCAAACTTTCAACTTGTCTTCAATCTTGATTATTATAATGAACCTATCAACGGAAAGTATAGGCCTTTTTAGCAGCCAACGAAATGCACAGATAGGGATGCTTTTAAGTCGTCGTTGACTTGAATTGTTCCGATGTTTAAATTCTGTCTTCAAGTAGAGGGTGCCCACTCCGGTTTTACTTTGGCTTAAGTTTGACCTTATTTTTTTGTTTTAAAAAAAAATTAGCATTTGACATGCAGATGTCATTCGTTTGCTAATTCAGACTATATATAGCATTCGAATGTTGTATTTAGATGCAAAATCATTTGATAACATTCATGATATACATAAGAGAGCACGAGATCAACAGAGTTTATACATTTTTTGAAGCACTCCTGCCACAAATGAAAATACCTCACGCACAAATACATGATCGACACAAACAATGCTTATTTGCAACTTTTATCTAGCACTAGGCACAGCCTTGGTGTCAAAGCTCATGCTCATTTCAAAGAAGTTATGAGAGTCTGTGTCTTGATTCTTACTTTTAATAGAGTTTTCAGAAGCAAGACACTCTTTTAGCTCATTAACAACTAAGGACATGCTTGGTCGTTTCTCTGAAGAAGGGTTTCCACACAACATAGCCAATTCAATAGCTCTCCAGACAGAACGAGAGTTGTAATCTCCATGAAGTTTGGGATCCATGATTCTCGTTATATCTCCTCTGTTTAGCATAAATGCTGTCCACTCAACTATGTGTGACTTTTCGCGGGTTTTCTCAATCACGCGTTGGTTTGTGATTATCTCCAATAATACGATTCCAAAACTATAGACATCGCTTGTTTCCGCCAACCGACCCGTTTTATAATATCTAGCAAGGCAAAAACATGGAATATATAAGACAGATTTGCATTCATTTAATAGACAAAGATGAATGTGCACACAAATCTCAAGATCCAAGGTTGGATAAGTAATACTTACTCAGGATCAAGATATCCCGGAGTACCAGCAACAACCGTCGAAACATGGGATTCATCTCCGAGTTGGAAAGATCTTGAAAGGCCAAAATCAGCAATTTTGGCTGAGAATTGTTCACCCAATAATATGTTCGTACTTTTGACATCTCTATGTACCATAGATGGTTGGCATCCAATATGCAAGTATTCCAATCCTATTAATATAAAAAAAAACACTTTTTTATTGTCTAATGTGAAAAATGACAAAATACCTTCTTTATATTTACACTTATATTTGAGGAAAACAAATTGATTGAAATAGGCCAGAATTTTTTACGAACCTAGTGCAGCATCGACAGCTATTCGTAGTCGAGTACTCCAACTCAAAACAGAACCACCACGTTTCCCTATATTCAGATTATAATCAGTCATCTACACATCATATGAATCTTTTATATTATGGTAAAAAAAACTAAAATATACTAAGTTCCACCTGACAAATGATCTTTTAAGTCACCATTGGACATGTATTCGTAGATGAGAGCCAAGTGATCTCGTTCATTGCAGTACCCAACAAGGTTTACCAAATTTATGTGGTGAACCCTCAAAAGAAGTTCAACCTGCAGATAATTACAAACAATGTAAAAATTAACACATTTGGTTCCTAAGCTTTGAAGACAAATCACATTTTTTATGATTTTTTCTTTGGGAAGATATAAAGCATTCTGTACCTCAGCTTTGAAGTGTTTATAGCCTTGTGATGATGATTCAGAAAGTACTTTAACAGCTACTTGATGTGAACTTCTCAAATAACCATGATAGACGACGCCAAACCCTCCTTCACCTAAAGCTCTTTTGTAGTTGTTTGTCATTTCCACAACCTCTGCGTGACTAAACCTTCGCTTTGTTGTCTCGATTGAAGTCTCGGAAATACTAGTGGGTGTATGCTTTTCCCGTGGCGTAACTACTGAATGGTTAATAGTTGTAGAGCGAAACATTTAGTAAAAGAGTGTTATCTAAGGCACCTTAAAAACGTATAGGGCTAATTTTGGTTTATAGTAGTTTGTTGATTTGATCATGAGTCTCGGTATCTATACCTTCCACATGAGTCGGTGTCTTTTTCTTTCTGAGCACAAAAATGAAAAACAGTACCACTACGATCAGCATCGCCACCACCGCTGAAGCAACCAGTGCAACAATTATCACCGGAAATTTCTTCTTTGTGACACATGAACCAGGTTGACATTGATTTATCTCATGTCCATCAACACTAAAGAATGAAAAAAGGATTGATTGTATAGGATTATGAATGCACAAGGGAAGGGATTATTGAATAAGATATGTGTAGGAGGATAGAGTTATTTTCTTACATTAACTTCAGTCCTTTCTTTTCTCTATTGAGAAGAGCTTGTGGAATTGAACTACTCAGATTGTTCTTGCTTAAGTTTCTATTGAAAGAGAAAAAAAAAATTCATAAATTGGTAAAGATTACACCGAAGATTACTACGACATTAACTTACATGATCAATAGTGATTCCATGTTAGCCAGAAACTCGGGAACTTCTCCAGTCAAACTGTTATTTGACAAGTCCCTACAGTTTGGAAGAGATTAAGATTTATCGAAATTGCGATGTAATAGATTTTCACCTTCGAGATCATACTTACAACTTTCCTAGATGAGTTAGAAATTGAATTCCAGCATCTATGGTTCCCGTTAACCCGCTTGAAGACAAGTTTCTGTTTTAAATTATTAAGATATATTAAAAAAAAATTAAAAATATATAGTGTAAATATTTACAAAAGCGGGTGTGTTTCCTATAAATAAATAATGAAAAAAAAAACTCACAAGGAAGTGATTTTTGGTGGTATAGACGCATCTGTGTCACTACAATTTAGACCATCCCACAAAAATTTCCTAGGAACACATGGATCACCTTGCCATGAGATTCTACTTAATCCATAAGATGATTTGATGTTTTTAATAGCAAATACTGCCATTAATTTTAACGATATGTTAGATTGAGCAATTTGAAATAAACAAAACCATGCATCAGTCATCACACCACAGTGGTGACTAGTTGTTGGGATATGTTAGTTTTAGCATATTCTAATATACAAATACTAACATGCATGACAACATTTACATACGTACCGTCATTTTCATCTGTTTCAGACTGTCGAAAATCGGCAACGGTGAAGCCTTCAATGGCGTTAAGCAGAGGTGGGTGTGTAGACTTCCCCGATTTAGTAAGCTTTATGACGCATGTTCGGTCTTCGCAAATAACTGGAGATGGGTTGCGTACCGTGTCGGACTGAAGATATAAAGGCCTGTAAGAGTCGTTAATGGATTCTCCGTTCAAAGAAATGTCGAACTCTCTTGTCTCGTTGGCGCGCAAGGCTTCAACCTCAGCAAAGTGGAGGTAAATGTAAACTTTATCACTAGAGGATTCGGGAAACTCGAGATCTATCAATGGAGCACTCGCATTCGCTGGTGTTGCAGCGGTTTTGAGAGTTCCTTGAGGAAGACGGAAACTATCTGAAGTGTTCATCGTAAGACTAGTGGATATTTGCTTCCAATTAGTCTGATTGTATGAATTCCATATTCTATCATAATCATCATCCGGGTACCTATTCGTTACCACAGTATTTAATTTATCAGCCATATATCACAAATGATTAAACAAAATTTCCTTAGATCATTTAATTATAAAAAAAAAAAAAGACTAACCGTATAGCAAATTTTGAATTGCTAAAATAATACCGCGAAAACAGCTTCAACGAACCCGATGTGGTGATGTAACTGTTATTTGGTAGTGGCCTTATGTCGATGGTCGATATGAATGGCGTTGACCCGTCTGTCTTGACAAGGCACAGGTCCAAAATGTTTGATCTTGGGATGTGAGAGATTTCTTCCCTTGTACCATTTACATATTTGGTAATGTCTATTGTTGCCCAATAATTAGGGCCTATGTACAAGTCAAATCTAGGATATATATTTAGACCATCGTAATTTCCATATATTGCTCTAGCTCTTATCAAATAGTTGGTTCCTTGCTTCACGGTAATATTGTAACAATTGCGTATTCCGTCTGGAAAGTATCTTAGCGTTGTTTGGTGCTTTAGGTAACCTCCCTCAAGATTTCTTTGAATCCTACCAATTTTTCCAGTTTGGATAAAACCTGAATCTGATGAGTATTGTAATCCAGTTACAGGCTCGGAATAAGGAGACTGTTCATTGGGAGGTAACCCACAATCCAAACTGATGAACCCTGTTGAGAAAAAAAAAATCCCATTTATCATAAGAAAGAGTTATAAAAAATTCTACACAATCCTTGGTAGGAATTTTCTTAGATACATTTCCTTTCAAAGAATTAAACCATTCCACCATCTGTATGATCATCCTAGAACCGATTTCAACTGGGCCAAATCCATGAGTTAGTTTCCTTCCTTTTTTTTGTAGTAAGCTAAATCATAGAAATGCCAAAAGTGACAAGTGTGACAAGTTTTCTCTTCTAAAAATAAACGCTACAAATAGTAACATGAAAATGTAGATGTGCATACCTTCTGGATCCTGAGCTTGAACAAGGTGAATTATAGCAAACGTTGCTATAAGTGCAACCAACAAAATCCCATGTGAACTCTCCATGTTTTTTTTTAATCTCCAAACAAAATCAAGAAAGTTGTGAACTATAACTGAAGTTTATAAGCGATGGGAGTCAATCCTTTGAAAACGTGAATACATGTCTTAGCTCCCACAAAAAAAGAAATTTAAATAACTAATGAAAATTTGTCAACGTATTTCGTATAATATGTTCTAGTGGGAAACATAATTGTTATTTGTTAGTTTTTTGGTCAGAAAATGTTCAACTTGTCTTGATTACTTATAAAGAATCTGTCAATTCTAGGAATATATATAGGCTTTTAAAAGCAACCAACATGAGTTGTCGCGAAATGTTCAAAGAGGGAGAGAGGTGACTTTCGAGTGGTCGTTGACTTTTTATACAGATGTTTAAAACTTTAAATCCGTCTAGAGGGCGTTTGAGTCTTCAAGTGAGAGGTGTCAACCCGGTTTCACTTTGGTTTAAAAGTTTTATACTTTCTCTATTACATTTCATATGATGTTTCAGAATTTTATTTGATTTGACCTTTTTCATGTTTCTATGCCAAATCTAAATTTATTTTATATTTTGTAATCATTTATATTTTGCACTATTTTATTATTATTTGAATTCTTATTAGTTAGATTATTTTATATGTACAAATAAATGATACAAAAAAGATGACGATCTAAAAATTATTTTAATTAGGAACTCTTCTTACATTGACAGCTCTAACTATTTGATACTATTATTAAATCATTTTGTATTGTATTTTTGTTATTACATGGTGGCTTTTATATAAAGTATCTAACTATTTGAAACCATATTTTTTTCAAATCTCCATCTCTTATAATTCAAGCCACCATAGAATAACAAGATATGACAGTTCAGTTCTAAGAGATGAAGCCCTTATTTAGTGCAGAGATAAGATTTGAACCTACGACATAAAGGAGGAACCTAGTTTTTTCAGCAAAACTGGAAGAACACTAGGGTGGTCGTAGATCAGCTGACTCCATGGTTTCAAATAGTTTAAATGGAGGTTATTGGAAGAGAGATTTACGTAGATTTTGAAAATTTTGAGAATTTAAAGATTTCATCATTATTGGTTTATTGATTTTTAAAATCTTATTAAAATATATTGTTATTGGTTTAAAGATTTTAAAATTCCATCTAAAATCCTTTATTATTCAAAAAGTTTGGTTTTTAAAGATTTTATGATTCTATTAAAATCTTATGTTATTGGGATATAGATTTTAAATAATTTAATTTATAGAACAAAATTTTGGAAAATTTTCAAAATATTACCTATATTATAATCAACAACTAGCGAAACAATATAATTGGACCAATCAAAACTCTATGATCAAGCATAATTAATATGTACGACCTAGTCTTTCGTACATACGCCATGCATTTAGAGTTTTAGACTTTCGGCCTACTTATATATACTATAATTTTTGAAATAATATACTTGGTAATTTTATTACGAAACATGATCATTTCTAAAATGATCCATAAAAGGGGTCTATTAATATGTTTTGAATCTGTCATTAATCTGCTAGTGATTTGCATTTAGTCTGTCATTACACTGCCAATAGTCATTCAATTATAAGATCAATCAGTCTGTCAGTAGTCTGCATTCAGTCTGTCATTAGACTATAAGTCAAAGTAGTTAGAAAGGTAGCGATGATATTTAAAAAACTGTAAAATAAGGGTCATTTTCACAATTTTTTCTGAATAGAGTATTCGTTTCATATTATTTTCTCATCCTAACTATTAAATTAGAAGCACGTTTAATGAAAATTTCTGATGTGTCACAATCTTAGCAAAATTTAGTGCAAATTAATGTTGACCTCGAATAGTGACCTGGAAATATGACATGAAAAATTTCCTAAAATAAACAAAATATTTTGATTGGTTGAGTTAAAACTAAATAAATTTCATTTTTAAATAAGAAGAAAAGTGAATGCATTCTTATTATATAGCAAGAATTCGAAAATATAAATAAAACAAAAAAATAATTAGATAGAAAAATAAATTATAACTATCTTCTTAACAAATTTTGTTTTATAATACAGCATATATGAATAAGAAGTAGAAGTAAAAGTAAAAATGAATCTTTACGACTTTAGTTTTCTGTAAAAATCTCGGGCTATATCTTTAGTTTAAAGCATCTTCAACCCATCTTTATTTTAAATCTTCTAATTTAGAGGAAAAAAAACGATGTTATTTTTTCCTCTATAATTTGAAGAAAAGGTAACAATTTCTCTTTTTACTTTAAAATCGAAATAGGTTAGAGAGAAATCTACCTATATTTTAGAGGAAAAAGTAGAAATATATATTGGAGATGATCTTAATGTTTAATATATTATTCAAGATTATAAAAAAATGAGTCAAAGAAGACAAAAATAAAAAAATAATTTTGATCAACTTTATATTTTTATCTTGAAATATTTTAAAATATTATCTTGCACATATTAATTCTTTCATCCATATATTTTTTTAACATATTAAAACATTACTTCATGAAGTAAGTTTTGTATATGTTGTGATCCATTATATACAAGATTAACACATATATCAAAGTTTGGAACAAAAAAACTCTTAGTTTTTAATATAAAAGTCAAATATTAAATATATTATTGTACACCTTAAACCATACACATATAAGTTTAGGATTCGACTGGTTTAATTGCGGTTACATAGAGTTTGTGAAAGCGAGCGATTGTTAGCTATAAAAATTTGACAAAGAGATGAGCGGAGAGCTACCGGAGAATTTTGTAAAAGAAGAACTGACAAATTTTATAAAAAATGTTAATTCTAATTTTTATTGAGAAACCATATATCATAAAATGGTGAAAATAAGAAATTTATATTAAATACAAAACAATAAAATGATTTTTTTAATTGTTGTTAAACGCCAAAAACTGTATCGTGTCAAAACATAACGTTTACGGAAAATATCGAAAAAACTAACCAACACATAAATACTACAATTCACTTATTTCTAACTCATACCTATATGCATAAATATTTGTATTTTTATATAAACAAATTAATCATATAAATTATAAATATATATATATTACAAAATATGTATTTTTATTTTCTTTTAACACATAAAAATCATATTATGATTTTTCATAAATATGCGTGTAAATATAAATATTTATTGTGAAAAAATTAAAGTCGCACGCAAATCTGTCGTGCATATATTTTGTTAATTTTGATTGCAGTCTAATTTTAATTTTAGTTATTAGTCAATTTATATTTTTATTTACATTCTTGTGTACCAACCACATTACCGCTCTTAGAATAAGTAAAAATGATAGTATCTAGTGAAGTAATTTAAAATATTGGTTAATATTTTTTTATCTTTAATTTCTATTGAAGTCTATAACATTTTTCATTTGACTTATTTTTACTATATATATATAAAAAAAAAATTTGACAACTATTTTTATTTTATATTATTATATATTTATATAATAACATTATTAATACATAATTAATCATATATAAATAAAACATCTTTAATATATAATATTAATCATATATATTGAACATATAAAATATTTTATAGTTCGCACAAAGCGTGGACCGATCACCTAGTTTTGAATTACTTTGGAGCATTTCCTCAAATATTATTATGTCGGGACAGCAAAGTTGCACTAAAAGGCATCGTATTCACTTATTATTTTTACTAGATGAGTATCCGCGCGATGCGCGGATCTTTTTTCACAATATAATTTGTTAAAAAGTGTAGTTATAATTTATTTTATCGTATATTTAATTTTTTGTTAAAGATATTATGTATTTGAATAAACATACAATATATAATTACATATTATGTGGATATTAACTATATATGTGATAACTAGTTTATTGATAAGGAAATGTGAAATATGTTATATCTTGTATATATAGAATATATTAAATAGATATACTGCAAATCAGAGAAGTACTATATAAAAAAAATTAATTAGAGAAACTCTTCAAACACAACATAGGTAGAGACGACCCTTTTTAACATATAGTATTTGTTCACGGCGCAGATTTATACAATAGCAACACCGTCATTTTATATTTTTATGAGCTTAAATAATTTAGTTATAATTGGATTAAACATTTTATAAATAAATATATTGGGACTTTGATATCTTATTAATTTAAAAATTATTAATGGACCAAGTTTGAATAAAATAAATTATCAAATAATTATTAGTTTACAAAGAAATTATTTTAAAGTTTATTATAATATTGTATACATTTTTCTTCTAACTTTTTTAGGTTCAAAATATCAAATAATTTTTATTTTTATATTTTTATAATAATAACTTATGATATTAATTAGAAATAATAAAACACTCTTAAATAAGAAACATAATTATTTTTAATGATTTTTAAAAACTACCATAAAATAGATATTTAATAATTGTTTTTGGATATTAAGTATATATTGTTATTAAAATATATTATCTAATACTTCATATTTTCATATTATTTTGGTATTCTATACTATAAAAGATGGTCAACTTTCTCCATAAGAGTGTCACCTCATCATTTTAGTTTATTGATATTATTTTTTAAATTTAATGATACAAATTATATAAAATACAATTAATGCATAAATTTAATAGATTATTAATCATAATACCAAAATAATATGAAAATATGAAGTATTAGATAATATATTTTAATAACAATATATACTTAATATCCAAAAATATAAAATAAATTGTAACTACACTATTTAACAAATTATATTGTGAAAATAGATCCGCGCATCGCGCGGATACTCATCTAGTATGATTAATAATCCATTAAATTTATTCATTAACTGTATTTTATATAATTTGTATAATTAAATTTAAAAATAAACTAAAATGATGAAGTGGCACTCTTATGGAGAGAGTTGGTCATCTTTTATAGTATAGATGCAAGACGTAAGACATATACATGCATTTTCCTCATCAATTTGACTGACTTGGTAACCTAGTACTCACTATTTGGAGGAGACTGCTCATATGTCATATCATAGTATATATAACTGGTATGT